TACGGGACGCGGCCGAGGTGGGGAAGGCTGCTCCCAGCAGGAGGCTGCACTGGCGGGCCAGGCTCAGGGCCTGTGGCTGCTGCTGCTGCCATGCAAGTAGTTGTATGTCAGGCCTTGCTGCTCTCGTCCCCGTTGTACGCGGGGCTGAATCACCCCTTCAGCCCTGAGTTGTGGCTCTCTGCTGCTGTTTTCCCGGTATTCCTTAGAAAAGGCTGTTTCCTCCTGTTTTCTGGGCTATTTGGGAGCTCTGATGTGGTCAGAGTAGGAGTTGAGGCTCTGTGTTACCTACAGGTGGTGCATTCCCTTAATAGAATCGGTGGCATTTTTCATTTCATAACGCTGACCAGCGTGAGGGTGCACAGTGTGGCCATGCCGAGCTGCTTGAGGCACCGGTAACAGGGAGCAGCAAGGGCTGGCGAAAAGCAGAGCATGCAAAGTGTGTCTTGCATGGCCAAAATAGAGGTAAAAACACCGTTTCTGAGGAAACTGGGTAGCCCACTGGGGGAAAAAAAAAAAGAATTGTTTTTGGAAGTAGGTGCAGGAGTCTGTTTCCTCCTGCCTCAGCTGCGTTCCGGGAGCTGCTCCCGAGGAGGGGGAGCCCCGGGAAAGGAGGAAGCACCATTCCCACCATCATCCCTGCTGCCACCAGCTTCTCCTTGGCCCAGGCATGAATCCGCCTGCCAGCACGTTCCGAGCCCACGGAGAACATGTGGGCAGCAGAAGGAAAGGAGCGGCTCTGGCTGAAGCTTCCACAGAGAAACACGCGTGAACGGACAGAGCTCTGATCCCTGCTGAGGTGACGGCGAAACCCTTCGTGTGTCAGGGAACAAGTGACACGATGGGCTTCACTCATGTGAAAGAAATAGCAGTCGGTTTTATTGATATGGACAATGGCTTAACGAGATTCTCTGGCAAGGTCACTTCTTATTTAGTGTGTGGGCTGCAGGATATACACAGAATTACCAAGGAGACCTTCCCGTTGAGTCACGGGCTTCAGGTTGGACCCCCTTGCTTTACAAACTCCCCCTGAGGGGAGCCCGGCTCAGCTGGATCCAATCTGAGTCCCAGACCTGGTCAATGGTTCATGACTAAAGATTTCAGTGCAGTTACATATATGATTTAGTAAAATTTACAGGTTCAGAGGGTGCGCTCTGTCCCTTGCTGCAGATCTGCTGCTGTGGATATGAGGATCTTGCAGTCCCAAAGAGGATGTTTGAGAGGAGTCCCTGCTCAGGGGAGATCCTGCTGTGCAGCCCCCATATTTATGGGATAAGATGATTGACTTCTAGTATTTTTTTTTTTTAATTTCAGTGGAATTTGGGCTGGTGTTTGCTCAGTTACCCTTATCTCCCTGCCAGAATGCCGCCATCAGGACTGTTTTTGTCCAAAGGGAGGAAGAGAGGAGGGAGGCAGCCACCAGACCAGATAGTGGCCGCGATGGTCGTCGCCTGAACCGGGCAGGGCAGCGGGGGGGAAGCCCGGGGGCC